CCTCAGCAATGACTGCAGAGAAATCCCATTTGAAAAGACACCAGGTACAGAAGCGGATTTAAACTTGGAGTTTTCTACATGAGCAGTCAGGACAACCAGCTCAAACCTTCAACTCCGTGTCAGGGGGTGCCTAGAGCTGCCATTGAAATTTACTGGGTTGGAAAAGTCTGTTCCCCTGCTTGCTTTGCCAAGAGTCTAACAGACCCCAGCTCTGATTTCTGGGCCTCGGGGTATCTTCCTTTCTCACCAGAGCTGGAGACTGGATTTACCAAGTCAAGTTTTCCCTGGTCGTAACTGATTGTAACTTGTTGAAAAAAGGCAAGTACTGAAAAAAAAGGGTAACTCAAGGATGTCAGACCTCTCTATAAACAATCCTGTTTCTTGTGCGTACTAAGAAAGGAGAGACAAAAAGTGCTTTCCTGTCACTAAACATAAACACCTGGGTCAGTCTGCCTGCTCTCAGGAAACATCCCAGAGTTCACTCTGGGTTCTGAGCACATCATTCTGGGATCTGACCACCAGTCATGTCACTTGTCTGGGGATTCACAAGGTCCAAACCTGACATGAAGTTGTTACTCACAGAAATCGTTCCCTCTTGTGGCCATTGCGTCTCTCAGGAACAGAGGGCAAAGCTCTGGAAGACCAAGGACATCAGGACATTCTCCAGAAAGAGACCAGTGTCAATCCCATCACATGATTGCAAAGAATTTACCCTAGCTGACCAAAAGTATAAAAACTCCAAATAAATAAAACCTAGAGAACAGCATTTGCCATCAACAGTTTCAGTGCTGCCGAACTGCAGGCTCCCATCTTCGTGACCAGTGACAGAGCCCCAGTTCACAGGAGTGTCAAAGGTCCTTCTGAAGTGCTCCAGTCCATGGTACCTTCTATAAAGAGGCCCTCCTGCTGCTGCTGCTGCTGCTGCTGTCACTGCATCAGCAGCAGAGCTCTCTGGCTTTCCCACCTCCTCCACAGCAGTGACCAGCTTTCAGCCACTAACTTAACTACAGACTTTGCTTTCTCCTTTTTCCATCTGGCTTCCTCCTGTGGCAGCCAACGTGGGCTTCTTGCCACTCTGGGCCGAGCCCAGCCCCTTAGACTACAGTCACTACTTACCTACTTACTACAGACTTTCTACAGACTACTTAGGTATCCCAGGTTATAGTAAAGGAAAGGGAATCAGCCAGTAAGAACTCTGGCCTAGCCTGTATCTGGGCAGCCTACAACTGTGTAGGAGCTCAGCCTTCAACTAGGAAGGCGTAGTCAAATCATCCTTACCTCTGAGAGGATGAAAGCTGAAGAGGACACTATACAATACTGTCTAACTATTTGTCTAACTACTTATCTAACTACTTGTCTAACTACTTGTCTAAATACTAGTCTAACTACTTATCTAACTACTTGTCTAACTACGTTCTAAATACTTGTCTAAAAGACAAGCACAAAAGAGCAGCAAAGGAAGCAGCTGACTGATCCTGAAGACCAGCTCCTTCCCTAGCCTGCTTTCAGCCCACCGAGCATTGGGCGGGTGAGTTCACTGTCACTGCAGAGGTGCCACATCTCTGCCCCTCTGTGACATGGGGGCCACACAGCTATGTGTCCCCTTGAGGTCACAGAACCACATGGCTCTTGGCCACAGGAACCCACATGGCTCCTCACACAGGTGGAAGTCACCGGAACTCCCCCTGTGCCACTGATGAAGAGGGGTTCACTGCCTGCAGAGCTGCCACTCCTTCCCCAAAGCACAGAGCCCAATGAGTACAGGCCTGCCCACAGCTGTCACAAGCCTGCTCACACTTCTGTCTGCCACACAGGCTGCTGGGGAATTCTGATCCACTCCTCCCAGGCACAATCCTGTGCCTCTGAGACTCATGTGGCAAAGCACACCAGCTCTCACAGGGTCATTTCCAGTGAATTTTATCTGCCCTCAAGATACACCCACAGGCTGACCCTGGACTGGTACCACCAGACAAACCCTCTAAAGGCTGCGCTGGGTGAACCTCGGCTGCCAGGCCCCCACATAGCTGCTGCCTCTCCTGGGCAGCTTTTTAGCAGCTTCACATTTACTTCATCCTCCTAAACCTTGCTTAGGCTAGGTTTGAGCAGACAAAGCTTTAGCCAGATTGCCACTCAAGGTTGCTGGAGGCAGTTTTGTTCCTGCTGCACCTGACCCACGTGGTTTGGGGCTATGCTCTGGACGCCTGCAGTTCTGAGCAGCCTCTGAGCAGTCAGGCACTTGGTGATCCTCGTGCTCCAAGGTTGCAGCTGGTTGCTATTCACCCCTGATGCCTTAGGATTTTAGCTTTTCTATTTTTTGTGTATTTGTAATCCTGAGATTCTTCAGTGTATAACTCTAAACTCCATATACAGTGTCAGCTGATGCTTTCCCATTTTGGTCAGAAAAAACAATTCCTCTCTAGGCCTGGGAATCAAGGAAACCTCACTGCCTCAGGCCCTGAGAGATGGAAACAAAAGTGAGTTGGGGAGAACAAACAGCGGGTAAATTACCTCATTACCTGAAGCTATAAATGAAGATTAAGCAGTTTTGGGTGTAGCTCCTGGGGGTGCTTTGTCTGCCTGAAATGGACCTGAAGGCCCTTCAATAAACAGAACTGTTTTGTATTCCCTTGATTTTGTCTGGCCTCTGTTTTTACATAGTTCCAAAAGGCATCACCCCTGTTTGAACTGGCTGCTTTGGCCCCTGCCCAGCCTGAGCCACCAAGTTTCACCAAGTTCTGTCACAAGGCAGAGATACACTGCAACAGCAAAGATGGATTTTTGGAGATCAGGGCCCACCAAACACTCTCCTGCTGGGGAGAGCCTGAGGCACAGGCAGGAGGGACCAGAACCACCAAGGCAGCAATGGAACGATTTATTTCATTTGCATTGATGTTAATTTAGGAATTATGTTTTCAGCCTCACTTCCAAACAGGCAACAACTGCCCTTTTTCCCTGCAAGCCCCACGGCAGCCTCACGTGAGGATCCAAAAACCTGTGTGGGCAATGTCACTTCAGCTGTGACACAGCTGTGCCCGCCGGCGCTGCAAGGCGGGGCTCCTGTGGGAACGGCTCCAGCTCCTGCATGGCCCCGAGCCCTCTTGCCCGGAACACGGCTGCCCTCTCGCCACAGGGAACAAGTCTGAGATTTACAAACCTCTACACAACAGCGTACAGGGCCCCTCAAGAGGCCCGCCTGCCCCCTCATCAGGGGAACCTGCCCAGGCTGGCACCGCGGCCCGCCTACCCCCTGAGGGGAATCTGGCCAGGCTGGCCCTGCGGCCCACCTACTCCCTCAGGGGAACCTGCGCGGGCTGGCACCAGGGGTCCCCTCTGCCCCCTTAGGGGAACCTGTCCAGGCTGGCACCGGGGCCCTTCAGCCCTCTCGGGGGAAACGCAGGAGCATCAGGCTCTTTTGGGGAATTGGGGCTGTTTTGAAGGCTTGCCTGTAGCCTTGCTCAGAGGCACTGCACGAGGCCCAGCAGCACGGAGCCAGCCTGGCCAGTGCAGGGGGGCACCGAGCAGGCCACAAAATCTGTCACAGACAGGAGCCACTGGCCACAACAGCAAATGAGGGAGTCTTCCTCTCCCTGCAGGTCAGAGGGAGCACTGGATGTGCTCAGCAGCGTTCGATGCTCCTGGAAGGTGGAGGTGGAGATTGGAACAGCCTGGGAAGGGACTGGCTGCAGCAGGGGAAGGCTGGACACTACAGTGCTCAGTGTGACACGGAGCTGTGGCAGGCCTGCTCAATGCAGGTCAGAGGCTCTGGCCCCTCTGGTTGGAAGCACAGGTCACCTCAGGGGGTGGAGTCACGAGAGGCTGTGCTCAGCAGTGCCTCTGGAATTGAGAATCTCTCTTTGGTTCCCTTGTGGTTCACATGCCAATTCCCAAAGAGCACGGAGAAAGCCACCTCTGCCTTTAGTGTGCTTTCTTTAACACTAAAAACAGGAGACCCTCCTTGCTCAAGCCATTCCTGGTGAGGAGTAAAACAGGACACGGCCAGAGCTGCTCAATCCCTGCCCAGGCACAGTGTTCTGCTCCAGCTGGCGCAGCTCCCTGAGCACCCCCTGACTCACAGCCCATGGCTTCAGACTGTAAAAGCCCTGTCCTGCTCTTTAACACGACACACTTCTAGCATTCCCCTTCTCAGAGTGTGGTGGGAGATTCCTCCCTTCACTGCGGACACCCAGCGAGGTTTTACCTTGAGATGGAGAAAAACAGACTTATTCAGGGCCCTTGGCAAGGACAAGCAATATCTGTCTCAACTTTTGTCTTTCTAGCTTTAATAAAATTGCTTCACTATGGCTTCCAAATACTGTGCTACAATAGTAGCAACAACTGGTTACACTGTGGAAGATGAATAAAGGAATAAATAATAAAAAAGGAAGAAAGAATTATTAAGCTTTTTAGTCTAAAATAATTAAAGTCTTCTAGACTACTCTTTAGCATAATCAGGCATTAAACTAAATTGTTCCCTCATCTTTGGGAAGGGGTGTAGAAAACGAGGACACCTTTGCTAAAAAACACAATGCTAATTTTCCATTCTGCTTCAGCCAGTGCCATAATCTGCCGGCAGCACTCCTAGAGTGCCCTGAGTGCTTCCCTGACGTGCGTCTCTGGGGCACACAAACCCTCCTTTTCCTCACTCAGTGGTGGTGAAACACACCACCAGCAGCAGAAATCATAGCCCAGCTGTGGGCAGCTTCTCTGCTCCCTCAGCCTCGGTCGGAATTGCTCCCGAGCAGCCCTGAACACACGAGCCTGCTGGAAGCTGGTGTTGGAGGGCCCTGAAGTGACGCTGTACTGCACCGGAGCTCCGGCTGGCTCTACGGTGGTCTTTGCACTCCGGCTCCGGCGATCGCCAGGAGTGGGGAATCACTGGGGAGTAGGCTTTTCCCTCAGTGACCCCTCCAGAGTCTTGGGCCACTCTAAGCTCTGTGGTGCACAGCGTCAGGTGTGGAGACAAGAAAGCAGAGGAGTCTCTCTTGGATTGTAGTTCCCAGCAATGGTTTTATTCGGTCGAGGAAACGAGGCGTCCACGCTGGAAGGGATCCAGGTCTAAGAGAGCCCTGAGCATTGCTGTGCAAGGAGTTAAGTATGGCCCGACCCCCAGGGGAGGGTACAAACTATAGACCAATGGGGAATCTTGAGAGGAGGAGTAAGGGGAGAGGATCACACCTTCCGGACTAATAGGGGTTCACAGAGGGAGGGAGCAAGATACAGCAACCAGTGGGGCCTCGAGGTATAATTGATTGATACAGAAGGCTCTGGAAGAAGGGATGGGGTTTACTATGATGGATAGGAGGGTAGGGGCACGGCTAAGGTGATTGGCAGGGAACATTTAGGTAAAATAGGAGGGGTTTACATAACTGACAACTGGGGCCTAACCAATACAATCAACAGGGGGAACAAGAACGTCCTAACAAGCTTCAACAAATCCTTAACCAAACTAAATAAATGAACTACAACCCTGAAGCTGCACTGTCCCCTGGAGCTTTGTCACATCCTGGAGGATTTGTTCTCCTCCTCTAGCTCAGAGAGCGGGGATGGTCTGTGCACTGCCCAGAGCGGCCCTGGAGGTCACAGCCATGCTCTGGGGATCTTCTCTGCTCTCTCCACCGTGGTTGGATTTCCTCTTGACCAGCCTTAAGCATGGGAGCCTGCTTCAAGCTGCTGCAGGAGGGCCCGCGAACTGCACTGTCAACAGGAGGTGTGGTCACAACAGGGAGAATTTGTTTTCTGCTGTGGAGGTCGTAGCCGCTCCACGCGGATCTGCTTGTCTCTTTCTGCCTCAGCAGGGTTTCCTCCCAAGCATCCCCAGGTCCACAGGCTGACTCCAAGCTCCTGTTGGAAGGTCCTGAAGCTGCATCATCCTTGGCATCATGGCCACAACTTGGAGGGCCCGTGTTCCTCCCTGTAGCATCATCACAGTCTGCGTTGCCCAAAAAACAGCTGTAGCCGTCCCTGCTCCACAGTGGGGATGCGCTCTGTGCCTCCTCCTGGCCAGGGTCTTCCACACTCAGCACCATATCCTGGAAAGAGAGCTGTGCAGAGTTCCTGCCCTTCTCTCCTGAAAGGACCAGAGTCAGTGGAGAAGCTCCAGAAGCCCTGGGAGGGCACATTTCAGAGCCTCCCAAAGGCCCTTCTGGAGGGCTGCCAAGGCCAAAGGGCCAAAGGCACACAAATGGCATGGATGCAGGTGGCATGCTTTGACAGGAAGCAGCATTGTGGCTGTGAAGAATGCTGCCAGGGTGCCAGGGGAAAAGGGAGAAATGCTGAGATCCTAGAAAGAAATCCACAGCTCCTGTGGTGCCCTGACTCTCCTCCCCAGTTACCTTTGTCCTGTCAGGCAAAACCTGTGGGACTACAGAAGCCACCTGCTTGCTGCAGGCTGCCCACTGACTGAGGACGGATGGCGCATATGATGGTGCCAGCGAGGAAGAAGCCTCTTCTCCAAGCCTCAGATCAGAGCATCTGCAGAAAAAAACAGTGATCTCACTTTAGGGCTGTTGTTGCAGCCTCCTCTGGGCTTCATTCATTTTCTTGGAGAGGTTTCTATGACAGAGCAACTTAGCCAAGGTCACAAATGAAAAGGTCAACCAGAGTATTCCCACCCGGCCTGCTCCTGTCCCAGCAAAACCTCATCTTTCTACCTTCTACAGCCTCCATTCCATAAATTCACACACTTGTTTGCCTTGGAAGGGACCTTAAATCTCCTTTTGTTCCACTCCCGCTCATGGCCAGGAATACCTTACAATAGACCTGGATCCTCCAAGCCCCATCCAACCTGGCCTTGAACTCTTCCAGGGATGGGGCACCCACAGCTTCTTTGGGCAGCCTGTTCCATTGTCTCACCTGGCATAAAACAGCAGGTAGGCTTGCTGCCCGAGAGCTGTGTCAATGCTACGAACCTCCACAGACTCATCATCCATCTGGTACCACAGCCCGTTGCTGGCCTGTGAAAAATAAAGGCAAGGATCTCTGCATGGCTTCTCACCAAAAACACGGGCAGAAAACTACCTAACAAAGAGTGTACCAAAAGAAATCCAGTGCAGCCCCTAAGGAGACCTTCTGGCCCAAAACCTTGGCCGTCGGTGGTACCCACAGGAAAGTTCCTCTTCCCCAGCATGCCTTCTCCTCGTTGGGAAGGAAGGAAGGAAGTTGCTGTTTACCTTTGTGTAGCAGAAATAGTGTCCTTCATGGCAGCTGTAGCCACTGTGCACCAGGACAGCATACAGGGAGTAATAGAGGGGCTCTCCATCGCCCTCGGACATGTACGGGCGGAGATCCAGGAACTCGGGGTACTCCACAGCCTACAGAGACACCAGGAGGGCTCAGAGGTGACCCTGACCTGGGACAGAGAATAGCCTGCCACATCCAGGGGCCAGAGGTGTGGAAATACATCCTTGGGGCCCATGAGCAGCTGCTTTTTCGTGTAGCAAAATGTAATGCCTTGAGTAGCAGGAAAGTGCTCTTGGCCAAAGCAGTGCTGTGGGAGAAGAGCGCTGGCCTGTCTTCCCAAGGGAATTCATTTCTCCCAAGGAGAGAGCACAACGAACCCAACCACATACCACTACCTGTACCTACAGACAACTACTACCCAACAACTAACATCACTAACGAGTGGCTTGTGACAAGCTCTAGGAAATCTACTCTAGGAAAAGAAAGCTTCACACCACGTGTGTACGCACCTTGTTGATCTTCCCGCCGGTGAAACAGTCAAACCGTTTCAGACACACGGTCAGAACCTTGGGTGCACAGTGGATTGTGAACCTCTTGGAGGCAGCAACATTCTCCGTACACCTTGAAAACAAGCACAGACAGCCCAGTGCTGAAATGCACCCAATCTTCCCCCAAGCTGGCCAGGCAACCTCTCCTGTCTCACACAGCTTTTGTTATTCTAAGGCTCTTCACTGCCATATTTGCAAAAAGCTGCATCTCATCCTGCGCGCAGTAAATCTGCACAGGAAGATGACTTCTCTTCAATGACATGCAGCCCCCTCCAACAGCATCCCGTCTTACTCTGGATGTCTTAGTAATCATCTCACTTGTTGCATTTAAAGCAGTTTTCACCATCCAGCTGCTCAGGTGTCACAAAGGCTTCCAGAGCTGCAGTGAGGGACGAGGCTGCCTGGAGGAGTGAGAAATGGGCACGCTGAGCTGCAGGAAATGCCCTCACCCAAGCATTTCCCAGAAGCTGACCAGAAAAGCCCCATAGCTGACGCTGAAGAGACCCACCATGAACCTATCCAGAAGGAGGCAGAAAGAGAGTGTGACGCTGAACACCTCCCCATATCCCAGCAGCTCCTGGAGCTGTCAAGAGCTCTGTCCCTGTGCCCCCGCTCAGTTCAACTAATGACAGTGTGCAGGGGCATCAGTGGTGCAAACAACAATGCAAACAACCCTTCAGCCTGGGAGCCAGACAGGTGTTACGGGAGGGCAGGCAAAGAGAAGAAGGATGACGATGTATCAAGGGTGCAGAGAGGATAATTGCTGTTTGTCCAGGTTAAAAACAGCACCTGCAGAGAGCCCAGTGCCACAGCCTCTGCAGGGGGACGCTATCCATTGCCCTTCCCACCCACCACCAAGACCTCTTGTGTTCACAGGCTATATTTTTAAGACAAATGTGTTGCAGGGCCTTGGGATGTCTTGTAGCACAACTGCAAAGCCTCTTACATTGATATCCAAAGGAACATCCAGGAAGGCCTCGTAGGAGTCAGAAACGGCTTTGCAGCTGCAGCAGGTGACTGGAAGGGAAAATCCAAATGCTCAGCAATGGCAAGCTGACTGGCATTGCCCATTTACACATTGCACCTGTCCCACCAGTCCCAGGACCAAGTGTCAAGCACAGGCAGACAGAAGGGCACGGGCAATGTCAAGGAGAGTAATAGCTGTGGAAACGCACCTCTGGATCTCAGAAAGCCCCCAAATATTTGATGGACAATGGTAGTGGATTCAGAAGAGAGGTCCAAGCTGGAAACAAGTGATAAGACACAGCGTTACCTCCTCCATGAGTTTTGCTTGGCCTGAAAGCCCAGGGTTTAGGTTTCCCTTGATGGTGGCACATCAAGCAGTCCAAAGGGCTCCGAGCTTTGTGAGGGTGATTGCCTTGTGCTTACTCGCTGCTTGCGCTCAGACAAGCTCTCTGCATGGCATTGACCGTACAGCACAAGAAGTCATGGGCATCTTCCTGCATACCAAGCTGAAAATGTTCTCCTATGCCTAAGAAAGAAGAAGTTTGTCCTTTTCTCATACACAAAGGGAAGAAAAGCTGTCAAAAGCACCTGCCATGACTTACGTCCAAAAACCTTGAGGACAGCCCAAGGCACGATGGCACTGACAGGGGAATGCAAGACCTTGTTAACGTGTGCTTCCATGGTGCACATCATGCAGAAACCTTGCTGCTGACCTGAACAGAGACACAGGGAAAGTCTTTAGGTTAGCCAAATATCCATAGCAGTGCGATCCTCCTCCTCGTCTTTCACTCCAGCGCAATACTCCACTCCTCCCAATGACCCAACGATCCCAGGACATTTTAGTGTGTGGAAAATGTTCTTAACAGGGATGCCGGACCAACAGTTTTCTGTGCAATAAGCCAGGAGGCTTTAACTTGCCGGAATAAAGACTTGGAGCTAGAAAGAGGTGTCTTCAGGAAGGGTAAGACAGCTGGCAAGGACAAGTGGCTTCTATAGAGACTTGAGTGTTCAAAGAACATCAATTCATGGGGCTGATAAAGGGCTGCTGTTCTCCTAAATCTAATTCCAGGTTCTGGGAATCTTTGGTATTGGATTAACACATATTCAGGAGGGGTTCCCAAAAGCACTCACAGGCCTTGCTGTGCTCTCGGGACAGCAGGTAGTTGGCCAGTGGCGGGGTGTAGGTCAAACACTGCAGGACAGCGTTGAGAAAGCACGTGTTGCCCACATTGAAGAGCCCCGCTCCAGCACTCTGCTGCTGCTGCCAGACCATGTAAATCTTCTCCAGTGGAAAGAGGATCCTTTTTGGGGGAGCTATTCCCTCAGCAATGACTGCAGAGAAATTCCATTTGAAAAGAGTCGAGGTACTGCTTGTACCAGCTGCTGAACTGCAGTCTCCCATCTTTGTGATCAGTGACAGTGCCCCAGTTCACAGGAGCATCAAAGGTCATTCTGAAGTGCTCCAGTCCATGGTACTTTCTCTGAAGAGGCTCTGCTGTACCTGCTGCTGCTGCTGTCACCGCATCAGCAGCAGAGCTCTCTAGTTTTCCCACCTCTTCCACAGGAATGACCAGCGTTCACCCACTAACTTAACTACTGCCTTTGCTGGTCTCCTTTCTCTGTGATCACTTCCTCCTGGGAATTACTAAGCCTTTTAGACTAGACTAATTAAAACCTTCTAGACTAGTCGTTGGCATCATCAGCCATAAAACTAAATTGTTCCCTCTTCTTTGGGAATGGGTGTAGAAAACATGGACAGCTCTGCCAAAAAATGCAGTGCTAATTTCCCATTCTGCTTCAGCCAGCGCCACCATCTGCCACCAGCACTCCTAGAGTGCCTCGAGTGCTTCCCTGACCTGCGTCTCTGGGGCACACAAACCCTCCTTTTCCTCACTGAACGGTGGTGGGCTGAAAAACGCACGAACCGGCAGCAGAAATCGTAGCCCAGCTGTGGGCAGCTTCTCTGCTCCCTCAGCCTCAGTTGGATTTGCTCCCAAGCTGCCCTGAGCACACAAGCCTGCTGGAAGCTGATGTTGGAGGGCCCTGAAGCTGCATTATCCACTGGGGCTTTGTCCCATCCTGGAGGATTTGTTCTCCTCCTCTTGGTCACAGAGGGCTGCTGGTCTGTGCACTGCACAGAGAGGCCATGGAGGTCACAGCCCTGCTCTGGGGATCTTCTCTGCTCGTTCCACCACAGTTGGGTTTGCTCTGGACCAGCCCAAAGCATGACAGCCTGCTTCAGGCTGGTGCTGGAGGGCCCTGGAACTGCAT